AGAAAAAAAATTTATTTTGTCTTATTTAGATAATTGCATAATCTGTTTAATTAGATTTTGTTAAAATTATATAAATTTATTTAAACATGTAAAAAAAACTAGTACATTTGCTGAATTCATTTTTATTATTAATATTATTCCTATAAACATTAGGAAATTATTCAGATATTTCTCCTATGGTGAATACTATGTACCTATGTCCAGAGTAGGAAATTCAAGCAAGCTTCAATAATAATAAATTTATTTCTGGAATTGTTGTTTATACAAAAATTTTAGAGAGTTAAGGGAACATCTATGGCAAGTTTTCCATCTTTGTAGGACAGACCTTCAGTTAATAGTTGAATATACACGGAATCCAATTGTTCAACTAATATTTGGTCCAGGCTGACCATTGTTTAAGATTTAATTTGCTTGTTTTTTTCCTTAAAATAAAAAGTAAATTCCTGATGATCACTTTTGTAGAATAACAGGATTAGCGACCCAGTGACATCAAGATCTTCCTAATCCTATTAAAGAAATCTAGCAGAAGACCTTGCTGGAATAGATGTACCTACTAGGGAAATGTTATTGGCAAAGATCCAATAACAAATGTCTAAATTTTGTCTGTATGAGGTCATGTTTCTTATCAGGGCATATTGCAGGGTTTTCCAAACTGTGCGATATTGCCTACTGGTGGGCAATTTCAACTCTTGGGTGGGCAATGAGCAACAGAACAGAAAATGGTGAGCGAATAGAAATTTTTGTGGGTGATATAAGATTTTGAGTATTAAAAAAGTATTTCAACATATACTAACCCCAAATAGAGAAATATTAAAAAGATATATAGAAAGAACTAAGGCACAAAAGAATAGAAATACTTAGTAGAAAAAAGGCTCTTGAAGAAATAATGTGAGAAAGAAATAATTTGAGAATAAAAAGTTTATACTCAGAACAAGAAAGAGAGAGAAAAAAGAAAGAGAGAGAGACAGAGAGAGAGAGAAGACAGAGAAGAGAGAGAGAGAAAAAAAGACAGAGAGAGAGACGACACAGAGAGAGAGAGAGAGACGACACAGGGAGAGAGAGACGACAGAAAGAGAGAGGGAGACGACACAGGGAGAGAGAGACGACAGAAAGAGAGAGGGAGAGAGACGACAGAAAGAGAGAGGGAGAGAGACGACAGAAAGAGAGAGGGAGAGAGACGACAGAAAGAGAGAGGGAGAGAGACGACAGAAAGAGAGAGGGAGAGAGACGACAGAATGGGAGAGGGAGAGAGAACACAGAATGGGAGAGGGAGAGAGAACACAGAATGGGAGACAGAATGAGAGAGAGAGAGAACACAGAATGAGAGAGGAGAAATATGACAGAATGAACACAGAATAGGGGAGAGAGAGAACACAGAATGAGAGAGGGAGAGAGAACACAGAATAAGAGAGGGAGAGAGAACACAGAATAAGAGAGGGAGAGAGAAGACAGTTACAGCAAAAAAGAAGGAAAGAAAAAACAAAAAAACAATAGTTTAAATGGAATAACTGGATCACATTCCTAGGTAAAGATATAAATATCATCACAAACAAGGAATATTTTGGTATTTTTATGATTTTGAGAAGGGTCATTAATATTCAAATAGTCTTCAGAAATTGAATTTTTTTTGCATTTATATCAGATAAGGGATGACCACGAAAAAAAATACTCACTGAATTTTTATTATTTGCTTGTTGTGTATATTCTTTTTAATTTTAAAATTATGAACAAAAATCTGATTTTTTTTGTCAACACTTGCAATGCTAAACCTAACCATAAAACTAAATTATATATAGTTTTTAATGGTCAAGTTTGCTTTAATTTGTTCTTTAATACAGTAGTGGCAGCAGCAGGTGTTGCATAAATGAGTGTTAGTTTTTACCTCCCTTTGATATTTTTTACTACATCATAAAGTCAATTTATGAACCAGTAACAGACTTTTACCAAACAATTTTGGTATGCTTTAGAATATTTACTATACAGGTGGGTAGTGAAACATTTTTCCATGTCAAAGTGTGCAATGGTGCAAAAAAGGTTAGCAACCCTCAGCATATTGGAAACAAAACAGCACAGACTTGTACAGACTACAACATTCTAAGAAAGAAGTCATAAATTTATGTCTTAATTTCTGGGATTAGGAGTTATTTATATGTGGATTATTGTCCTCATCTTTGTTATTATTGTCATGTCGTTTTGACTATTGTACCCTTCAGCCTTCTCCAGGTGTCAATTGCATTGAGATATCCCTAGACAAGTATGGTGGAATAAGAACAATCTGACCCTGAAGATTGAATAAAGTGTTCAGTTCGAAATTTCCTGAAGGTTACCACCACTGATATACACCTGAAGAAGGCTATAAAGAGCACAATAGCCAAAGCCTTATGATAAAAAAAATCCAAATGGTAAGTAAGGGTGATTCAAATCTGTGAAAGTAGCACAATGTTCTAGACATAAAGGTCTGATCTGGCAGAACTAGAAATGTTTTTTTTTTGTTTTTTTTAAACAATGTTTTTGTTTCTGCACAAGGCCCAAGCTTTGTTGTTATCATGTTTCAGCCACTATGCTCTGGCCTTCATCAGAGTGTTAACCCCTTACTGGAAGAGATGTACCTACTTGGAAAATGCTATTGGCAAAGATCAAACATTAAAATGCTTAAATCTTGTCTGTATAAGGTTGTGTCTATTACTAGAGCATATTGGAACCAAAGCGGACTATTATCCTTACCTTTATTCTTATTATCACAACATTTCAGCCATTGTGCCCTCTGGCCTTCATCAGGTGTATATCGACCCAGGAAACTGTCGGAGTTAACTCCTCCTTCAGTTCGTAACCCTTTCACCAGGCGTCTCTCTTCCCTGGCTATAAGAAGCCGCTGACCCTTCACCTCTTTCTCTTTTTTGCCGACACCTTGAGGTAAATCTCTCTTTTTCCTTAGGCTTCCAGCCTTACCACCTCAAAAATGTGAACGCTCACCAGAGATAGTGTTTCCCAAAATGCTGGGAACATGCTAAGCACAATACACACACACACGCACAAACGCACATATATAATATTCACACACACTTTGTCCTTTTGTAACTGTTTCTATGTAACCTGTTATTAATATATATATTTGTATACATATATTATCGGTCTTGTGTTTTGTTTGTTTTCTTTGCATTCTTTGGACTTAATTAAAAGTCCAACCATTTCATGTAGTTGGACTGGCTAGCAGGAAAATCTGAACCCGCATGTGTTTCTTCTACATCTACTCAACAACATCACAGACACGGTCCACTACAAAACCTATAAGGAATTTCATTCTGAACCCTTTATTTAATCTATACAGGTAGATTGTTCTCCTTTGATCACCTCCAAGTTTTCCACATGCAATTGTTCCACAGGACAATAGCTTAGTGGATTAAAGCATTAGTTTGTGAATTTGGTTACATAGCAATTGTGAGTTCAATCCTTGGGTGGGGCAGTGTGTACTTTGACTCAGTGAAAATGAGACAAGCTATAAGTGAGAAGTACTAAATAAGAACAAGATGAGATATCCCTAGACAGGGCTAAGACCGTGCAGAAAATGATTATCATAAGTACTAACTCTTTTAAAATGGCAAAAATGCTGTGCTAACAAGGAAAATGAGGACATTAGTCCAAATGTAAATAATGATAAATTCAGACAGAAATCACTACTAAATTCACAAATGTTTTAATCTTCTAGGCCAAGGTTACCCAACCTTGGTGATATCGCCCACCAGTGGGAGATCTCAACTGTTGGGTGGACAATGATCAACTGAACAGAAAATGGTGGGCAATTGAAAATTTTGGTAGGCAATATAGCATTTTCAGTATTAAAATGTATTTTGAAATATGCTATCTGAAAAAATATTCAAAGGATATGTGCAAAGAGCCAGTATAGAAAAAACAAAACTGGAGGCGAAATAGGAATAACTGGGTCATATATTCTAGATAAGATATAAATATAAAACAAGGAATATTTTGGTATTTTCTCTATAGTTTTCAATGGTCAAATTTACTTTCATTTGTTCTTTAATAAGGTAACAGCAGCTGTATAAGTCTGTTATTTGTTACCTCCCTTTGAAATTTTTTTTTTTTACTACATCATAAAGTCGATTTACAAACTTTAACCAAACAATGTTGGTATGCTTTTGAATATTTACTATACCGGTAGGTGACAGAAAATTTTTACATGTGAAAGAGATGATGTAAAAAAATGTTGGGAACCCCCTGCACTAGGCTATTGATCTGTGTGATCTGAACAAGGCTAGAAGGTACGATACTGAAGCATCATAAAAAGAAAAATGAGTATATTAAATGTAGATACTATAAAATTATCAAGATTAAGTTTGGTGAGACACGGATATCCCACCAACACACACACACACACAAAAAAAAAAAAAAAAGGACTGTTTCCCAGGGTCATTATTTTTCTTGAAGAACATAAAAATGCAAATTTAACAGTTACTAGCAGGAGAGCCCGGCGTTGCCCGCGGATGTAACAGTAAGAGATAGATCAAGTATCAACCATCATAAAGACTGAAAAATAAAATTGACAAAGATTATTGTTTAAGGTTGACGGACACGCATGTCTTAATTAGTTTTTTTTTTTTTTTTACGAATTGGTCAAACTCAAACAAAAACATTGTTTTCAATCGTTGAGTCTACCGATTGAATAGAATTTTATTATAAACAATTGTCTTGTAAATGGAATTTTAAAGCATTCTGAATGTAAAAATAAAGAAAAAGTGTGCAAGACAATAAGAAACACTACCTGCCAAAAAAAAAAAAAAAAGTGAAGTTTTGTTGAAATCGGTTGAAAAATGTAGGAAATCCGATCCAATATATAAACGTACAGACACACACACACACACACACACAACCTGGGTTTTATAATAAGTATGATTTTAGAAGGAAGCCTATACTCAGATTATTCTTAAAGCCTGTATTTGCCGGATCAGAAACATGGGACATAAAAGTAACTGACTGCATCTTACCTGTTGCTTGTGCGATAGCTTTCATGAGCACTGTCTCTCCAATTCCAAGTTCTACACCTTCATAGGCCGGAGCCAATTTGTTCAGACACAAATAAACAGCACAGAGTAGATCATCTGGTGACAGGGCTATCACAGACCGAAAGAAATTGCTGAGAATCTCAATCATCTTTAATCTGGCAAAGAAAAACAGAGAACAGGCAAGTTAATAAAGAGAAATGATTACAAACACTAAGGGAGATGTAAATAAACACCAAAATGTTAAGATTAATCATTAATTAAATACTGATCATCTACATGTTTGTTTGAACTACTTTACTGAGGCATGAGGCATTGTCATAAGATCGAGATTTTATATATTATATATATATATATATATATATACATATACATACACACAAATTCCAACCATCTGCTGTAGCAGAGATCAGTGTGAGTTATTGGTTATGCCAATTTCGATATCTCATTTATGTTGTGTGATACTGAAATCTAAAGATGCATTGGGATAGTGAAAGATGCTTTCCAAAAGCTAAACAAAGTATTAACAAACAAAAGAGTACTGAACAGTTAGATAATATGCATCCTCTTATATGGCAATAAATAGCTGGACAATCTCCACACAGATAAAGAAGAGACTTTAAGCAACAAAAATGTGGTTCTTCAGGAAGATGCTGAGAATATCATGGAGCAAACATGCCAGCAACAATGAAGTTTTAGAGAAAATTGTAGTGCAAACCAGGTCTATGCCTACATTTTTTTTTTCTCTCATGCAAACTTGACCAATGTCTGCTATTTTGGACTCTCCTCCAGACCGGACCAATAGCTGCTATTTTGGACTCTCCTCCAGACCGGACCAATGGCTGCTATTTTGGACTCTCCTAACAAACTGGACTAATGTCTGCTATTTTGGACTCGCCTTCAAACCAGACCTATGTCTGCTATCTTTTACTATCATGAAAACTGGATCTATTCCCATTGTTTTTTTCTCTCATGTAAACCAGATCTAAGTTTACTTTTTTTTTAACTCAAGTGTAAACTGGACCAATTCATTGTGATGTGTTCTTTTAAGAGGTATATACAACTTTATGTAATCCAACAAGTGTTGGGTTATATATCATTAAAGTGGCCAAGTTAACCTAAACATTATTATACATCAATCTTTCCTAACTTAATAAGCACATGAGTGAATTGGGATTTTTGCAGTATCAAAGGGAATAAATATTTTCTTTTAAAAAGGTAACAATAAAAAAAAAACTTCATTCAAAGCATAAGACTTTTTCTTTAAGTTTTTGTCAGTAAGGTTTGACAGCAACCCCATGATACAATATATATTCATGGCTAATAAAACAGAAGTAAAAACAGTTTGAAATCATTGTTTTAAGCTTTTGTTTCATTGCTGAAATGACTTAGCAAGCTACAATTATAAATGTTCAATCACAAGCCAAACAGAAGAAGAATTGCTGCCAGTAAGATTTGCAATTGCCACTTGTAGAGAAGTCAGTGTAGCAATAATTCATGGCATCAGAGTAATATCAATATTTTAATGAAGCTACTGACACTTCTGCCATTTCCAGCAAAGTGGGTAGAGGAAACAAAAGGAAGGGTTTGGGGTTTGGGGACAGAAGGAAATACACTAAACACAATGACAGCTGCTATGCCAAAGAAAAACACTGAATTCTTTGCCTTGTGCTCCATCCATGCAAGCAACATCATACATATACACACACACACACATATATATATATATATATATATATATATATATAAAAATGAAATTATGTATTTGGGTAGCAACCCCTCTTTTATACAAGACAATTGACAAGCTTTTTATTCAATTTCTCTTGTGTTCGTTCAAGTGTTTTCTTTTCGGGAAGTAAGGTGTGTAAAAATTGTCCAAATGATCTATGTATCTGAGCATTATACCCAGGAAAAAAATTATACGAATACTAGAAAAATTGAATAGCTGGAAATAGTTAGATATATAGAATATTTGGAGTGTTTATACACTTTATGTCCAGAAAAGAAAACACTTTGAATACAAGAAAAACTTAACAAAAGTTTGATCGCAGTACCTTGCATTATTTGCTTTCTCTTTTTCCTCTTTCATTACATCAAGAATTTCACCTGTTACCCCCCTCCCCTTTTTTTTTATGGGTGTGTCTTTATTCCCCCAGGATGATATCTGCTGTTGTCACTTACATAATTTTGGAGCATTAAACCTAAGAATACCCGAAAAGATTAATAACAATAATAATAAAAAAAAAAAAACAATTAAAAAAAGAAAATTTTTTTTAAATTAAACAATTTTCACTGTAGTGGCTATAAAATTATAATTGTGGATTATCCAAAAGACACATCACCAATTGGTTAATGGGTATTTGATCTTCTGGCAGTAGCAAGTTCAATTCTTAGTTTTGGTAGTACAACCAACACAAAACTGAAATTGCATTTACTCTAAGCATGTAAAGTGGAAGCAGGATGACAATCTCCAACTGTTGATGAAATGAAGGATTTCATTCAAGATTCTGAGAAGGTTACTGAGTACAACACACATCTGAAGAAGGCCAGAGAGTACAACAACCAAGACGGGCAATGGTGATCTCAATAGAAAAAACATAATTCTTTTTCTTTTGAATTTTTTTTTTTTTGTTTTGCACATAGAAGGGTCAAAACAAATATGTAGTGGAAAGAGGAGAGGGAATGGGAGAAAGGAAAAACGAAGAGGGAATGGGAGAAAGGAAAAACGAAGAGGGAATGGGAGAAAGGAAAAACGAAGAGGGAATGGGAGAAAGGAAAAACGAAGAGGGAATGGGAGAAAGGAAAAACGAAGAGGGAATGGGAGAAAGGAAAAACGAAAGAAAGAAAGGAGAATGGGAGAAAAGGAAGAGGAATGGGAAAAAATGGGGTGAAAAAAAATAAAAGGAAAACGAAGGGGAATGGGAGAAAGGAAAAATGAAAAGGGAATGGGAGAAAAAAAGGAAGAGGGAATGTAAAAAGGAAAAATTAAGGAGAAAAAAAAAGAAAAAATGAAAAATGGGAGAAAGGAAAAACGAAGAAATGCAGAAAGGAAAAAGAAAGAAAAAAAAACAGGAGAATGGGGAGGGAGGAATGAAAAAAATTGGAGAATGGGAGAAAGGAAAAACGAAAAAATGGAGAGGGAATGGGAGAAAGGAGGAAAAAGAAAACAATGGGGAAAGGAAAAACGAAAGGAAGAAAATAGGTGGGAGAAAGGAAAAAGAAAATGGGAGAAAGGAAAACGAAAAAATGGGGAGGGAAGGAATGGGAGAAAGGAAAAAAAAGAAAAATGGATGGGAAAAAGGAAAGAAGAGGGAATGGGAAAAGGAAAAAAGATGGAATGGAGAAAGGAAAAAGTCATAAAAAAAAAAAGGAAAAACGAAGAAAAAGGGAAAGGGAATGGGAAAAAATTCCTTGGGAGAAAAAAAAAAAAGGGAATGGGAGAAAGAAAAACGAAGAGGGATGGGAGAAAGGAAAATGGAAAAGAGGGAATGGGAAAAAGGAAAAAACGAAGAGGGAATGGGAGAAAAGCAAAACGAAGAGGAATGAAAGGACAGTTGGGAATGGGAGAAAGGGAAAACGAAGAGGGAATGGGAGAAAGGAAAAACAGAGGTTAATGGAAAATTGAGAAAGGAAAAAATGGTGAATGAAGTAAAAATAAAATGAAAAATCGTTTAGATTTCTGTTGGAAAAATTAAAATTTCAGAAAAATGAAAGGTGGGGGAAAGAAAATGCAGAGGAGAAGTAAACAGAAAGGAAGGAAAAGAAAATTGAGAGGAAAAGAAAAATTTGGAGGTGATGAGGAAATTGAATAATGGAGATATTTAAATGATTTCTTTATGGAGAAATTCAAAATGGAAATAAAGAAAAATGCATGATAATTTAAATCTATAGATAAACATTATTCCAGTTCATTTCAAACATTACATTTTAATGCAAATTTTAAGTTAATTTCAAACAGTGAATAGAATCTAGATTTGGAAACAAAAAATAAATAAGGATTGGTTCCTGCAACTGGGACAATATGGTCTTCAATAGTTCCAGAATTGCAGATGACAGTATTAAGAACTTTTCCAATCAAAAACTAATATTTTTATTTTATTTTCTAACAGACTGAATCTATCTCTTTTAACCAAATTCTTTAAAAATTGAAGAAAAACAAAAATGTGTTTAAACCTGCGGAACAACCATCATTAGAAACACAATTTCAATGGAGCCCTAAATGATTTCAAAAAATTTATTTTTTTTTTTTTAAAATGATGTTCTGAAATGTACAAGGCCCGAGTGCCAGAAAAACACATTTTATACAGATATATATGGAAGACAATGTTTAACCATAGAATGAACAGGTTAAGTTTGAGTGATTGGGAAAACAAATGTATGTGGGTGTCAGTTCCACAGAACAGAAAGAAGTTTGCAGAAGCTGCTGCTGTCAAAATGGAACTTAAAAATGGAACAATGGAAAAAAAAAGGGAATCTAACTAAGGATTAAAGCTACAATGAAAAAAATGGTGGAGTCTTAGCTGTGAAGATTAGAACATTATTTTAATCATTTCATCCCAATCAAAGCAATAAAGCCACCAGGACTCAAGAGGTTACTGAATGTTAGAGAATATGAGAGAATAATAAAAAAACAAGAATTAAGAAGACAGAAGATTGCATTTAAATTTTTGAAAATCAAATTTGACTGGGAAGAAAGAAGCTGGAAAAGAGTTCCACAAGCGAGAAGTGTAATAGAAGAAACTCTTAACATAGAACTTATGGTTACATATAGCCATTTCAACTGTAAAATGATGAGACCTTGCTGTCAATCTAGTAATTCATAAAATCTAGGTACCCTAGCAGAAAGTTCATCAGAACAATTACCATGAAAGTATTTATAAAAAAGCACAGGAACATTATCACTGATGCAGAAAAGTGACTCAAGTCACTGAGATGCTAGGTCAGGACCAATAACATTGCAGATTCTTCTTTGGATTTTATATTGCTGGGCATTTGGTGTATGTGGCAGCAATATTTTGAAAAACAACCAAATACAAGGAAAAAAGGATTAACGAGATTCATTTTTTTGTCATGGCAATAAATATTTTCATCTTTCATTTTCCTTGTGAATTTACACTGGGCCTTTCCTAGTTTTTGTACACACTGTGAAGAAGAGGCAAGACATGATATATCTGGTTGGTGAGGGACTGAGAGAGTGGGACCTGTTGTATATTTATAACCCAAATGACTCCTTATCACATGCATAATGTTGTTATTTTTAAATAGATTAATATTTTAATTATATCATTCAGATGAGACATGTTTTCAGTGCTGAGCAGGGTTGATTCCAAGGATCACTTGAAAGTTTTGAAATCAGTGTACATTAAGTCCTACCAGCCATCTCTTTCTAAGCAGAAGTGGTGGTTACTGGGCTTAAAGGTAATTAGCATTTAAGTGTTATATTTTCTTGTAGATAACATTTGTCTTGGGTTTGAATTGAGCTAATAAAAATTCAAAATTTGTGAAGTACCATAATGAATATTTGTATTTATATTGAAACATTATCTTTATAATTATGTGTGTAGAAGTTATGAAGGTATAAAAGGGAATATGACAATTTTACTCACGAGATCAGGGAAGCAATAATATTCTGATTCTTTTTATTTTATCAAAGCTTTGAAAATTTTTAGGAGCACTGGACCAAATGGTAACATGCAATATAAACAAATATAATGGTATAATGACAATAGGTGTAGACAAATTTGCCTATTGTCTGGTTGATTTCCTCCTTGGTTTTTTAACTTAAAAAAACGTTCATAATTTCACCTGAGTGATTTTAAGTTGCACTAGGACACAAGGGTTTCAGAAAATTTGGAGCATTAATCAGATAGGATTATGTGATAGAAGAAAGGATGAGGATGAAATCTTGGCAGATAGATCAAGGCATTTGGAGATGTATTTAATGTTTATCCCTTATTTTCTGTTTAGGATTGGGTTTTCAGTTCCTTCTGAAGTCTTCTCATTTACTTTCACTCCTAGTAGCCCTTTGCGTCTTAGTGGTATTATCACCTTGCTTGTCCCCACTAGATATCAGTTTATTACATATACCAAGCTTTCAATTGACTAAAGAATTGTGATGACTTTGTGCTTCAATTTTAAATATAATACAAGAGGTATTTTTTTAAACATTAAAATGTAAACAATGTTGCAGGAATTTGATCTGATTTTTATATTTTAAATGCCTGTGATGCCATGTGAATGAAGAGTTACATGGGTTCAACCAAGAGTTTTGAAAAAGCCAGTCCACTCAAACACGTGGCCTGGATGACTTGGGACTTTCTGCTAGTACAAGCAGTGACTGATTCTAAACAGTTACATCTACCTAATTTTATTTACAAGGCTGGGCTCAACTTTTAGTTCATTCTCAGGCATTTTCCCCAGTGTTCTGCCTGCTGGGATCATCTCCCAATCACTATGACCCCTCTTTGACAAATTGAACATGGTGATATTCAAACCCAAGTACTGTTGAACACTAACATTCTAGCTCTTCATCCATGTGCCCACTCGAGGAGATATAATAAGATTTTATTATTACACCTATGGCCTACTGACTAATTAACAATTCCTATCTTCCACAGAAATAGTAATAGAATCATGAGATGCTTCCAATGGAACATTGCAACCATCTCACTACCGTATTGCTATTTCAATAGAAAATATTCTGTATTCCCTAGTTCCACCAATTCAGAGCTTCACAGCTAAGACGTGCCATGACACATACACAGGATTGAATCATCCACATTCCCTTCCTATTCCATTAATAAAGAGGAAGTTCCATTAAGGCAAATTTTTCTCCCAAGAACTGCTTCTTTTTGGAACAGACACCTGAGAATGCTACCATCTCAATATCTTAAAATCTAGTGTCAAATCTACTTTCAACAACCTTATTCAGTAATTTTCTAACATTGAGTGGCTCTTGGGCCTTGGACTACATGAACAAAATTACAATTATTTTAAATTTAAATACTTTTTATACTTATTTCTTGGAAAAATATCTCAACAGGTTTGTTTTGACTGATTAATTTATTTTCTTATGCTTATCAACCTTATGCAACTATTTAAAGACTGAAACTATTTTTAGAGATGATAATCATTTACTGATATAAGTCCTACTAATTAACCCATAGGTGGGGGGAAGAAGAAGCAGCAATGGATTCATGTCTCTCCCAATGGTATTTGGGCATAAGGGAATATAACCAACCTAACAGGAATAAGAGCTTGGCTTACCAATTTCCAATTCAGAGCCATCATCCATTACACCACCAACATATCCAAGCTTATAGCACCTGATATTCTCAAGAGGTCATTCATGTAGGTACTGACCAGGCTTGATATTGCTTAACACTGGTTTTCCTAAGTTAGCAATACTTCAAAAAGCACAGAATTGCTCGGTCCTCAGGTTTATTAAGGGACACACAGTTTGAATGTCTGAATGCTGGATACACACCATTCTTGCAGTTATTGCTCAATTTAGTTTGGTAACATATAACATAAATATATACATGAAAACAGATTTTTGTATGTCTACAGATTTTTTGGAATTTTGTTTTAGAAATTAAAAAAAACCATCCGGTTGTTTAAAATATCAGAAGTGTATCAACACCATGGATTCAGGCAACATAAGCCTAAATTCAAAAAAATATTACCAACAGATGTCCATTTTATATTTTTAGCAAATTATCTAGATGGAAATTGGAAAACATACATTTCAAAGATGACACACAGTCAACAGCAATGTCTTTTATTAGCTTTTTGTTTATATATATATATATATATATATATATATATATAAATAACATTTGAATGGATATAGATCCGACAGAATGAAAAAATTTTGACAAAAAACAAACAATGCTTGACAAGCATATACATAAAAATTTTAGAACCTAATAGAATTCTTTTCATTTTCTTTTAATTCAAAATAATCAAAATTTTTTTAGAATACGTTTTGAAAGCGTCGCCCATGTGACGACAAGCGTGACCATGTTAAACAGAAAGCTGATCATTTTTAAAAATTTTCAGTTATCTGTTTTGGATAAGACTTGTTTTTATGTCCATCGTCTTTGTCAAATTGAACTGAATTGTATTTTAATGAATATTGTCTTGAAAAAGGTTTATTAAACCGAAACGTCAGACGTCGACATTTCATTCATTTTAAACAACATAATTGCATTTAAGGATTTTTGTTTGTTTTTCCAAATTTATGTCTTTATGAGAAAATGGCATCTGCCAACATCACAAGGTAAGTATTAACAATTATATTTTGACTTTCTAATTACAAAAAAAAAAAAAAAAAAAATAAAAAAAGGTAATAATATTTTATGTGTTTGTGTGTGTACATACACATGTATATTATATATTTGCTCTCCCCACAACCTTTTTTTAAGCATTCTTCATTATATATGGCAGACAAAGAAGATTTAATTTTTAATAACTTTTCCAGCATTATATGTCTATATTTCTGAGATGAGGTATTATGTACATTATTTACATTATTCAGACTATTGTCCTCATCTTTAATCGCCATATTTATTACGTTTCGGCCCTTCAGTATCTGTCTATATTTCTGAGATGAGGTATTATGTACATTATTTACATTATTCAGACTATTGTCCTCATCTTTGTCGACATATTTATTATGTTTCAGCCGTTGTATGCTCCAGCCTTCTTCAGATAGTTGGAATGTCAAACTTATTTTACTCACTAGGGTAGACTGTTCTAGTTCATCGTGCCGTGTTTTTTAATGGATGTCAGTTATCAGTTATCTCCTGTTAATTCCTCTCTTCAAGTTCTCCACTGCCTTAACCAGGTATTGAACTCACACTGTTTGGGTCCTGTCACTGGATCTAACCAACACCTTCATCCACTGAGCCATGTGTCCTCGACAAAGATGAGGACAATAGTCCGAATAATGTAAATAGTCTTTTTCCAGCATCCTTACGTTTTTCCATTTTATAGGAGTAAGGAAGTTACAAAAATTTTCCATAAATTTTACTGTCCAAAGCACTTTCAGCAACTTTATATATATTATACACACACAGACACACACAAATTTTTTTTGAAAAGTTTCCTATCTATCCCACTTCAAAAAAAAAAAAAAAAAAAAAAATTAGTAAGTGACTGAAACATGAATCTTATTTCATTTAGAGGAGGAGAAAAAGAAGAAAAGAGAGCCATTCCCCCACCATTCAACAAAATGATTTACCATATTATATATTAAGGGGTGTGTTTATACATGGGGCACACATGCATGCGGACAGTGTAATGGTTAGTGGTTCAGAAATAGAAATCAAATTGCAGCTGAATTCATTATGTTTGCTTTCAAAATACACAATAATTTTAGGAAAGGGATGAATCAATATATTCTCTCCCAACTACAGATTAAATAGTAGAGCAGACAGGGCTCTCTAGTCTTGGTTAACAATCTGTCTATGAGAAGGAAAACTGAATGAAAAAACTGAAGAGGAATGCTTGCAGTTTGCACCATATTATATATATATATATATATATATATATGTATATATGTGTGTGTGTGATTAATACAAATAAAAGTTGTCACATAGCTGATTGATGTTATATTCAGCACCTGACTCCAGAGATTTTTGTAGATGAACCTTTCTGTTATCATTCTGTTCACACATCAGTAGATAGCAGCTATATATATATATATATATATATATATATATATAATAATAGAAGTCAACACTTAGGGTGACAGTCTGTTTCATGCTAAATGCAATCGTCAGGCCACGATCGTTGTTTTGACGATTGCATCTAGCTTGAAACAGACTGTTGCTCCAAGTTTTCAGCTTCTTATGTTCACGTTTATATTTACACATGCTCTATCTCTGATATTGAGCACTTTATCCCATAAATATAGCACATTTTAAGACTTTATTTCTTCATATATATATATGCAGTACTCCCTCTCTAATACATGATTCATTAAAAATGACTGATAAAATAGATTTTTTAAGTTTGTTGATTCTATTTTTCTAGTATGCACTTACGTGTCTTTTTTTTTTTTTTTTTTTTTAGTTACTCAGTATAGAAATTGTTTGAACAACTGTTCATTCAAACCATTTTAGCTGAACTGTTAAATATTTACAAGGAATTTTTTGTGCTATAGTAAATGCAGTGTTAGTGTTATTGTAAACAGTTTGCTTAATGGTAGACAATCTTAATTCCCAATACAGCTAGTACAT